GTCGTACCTAATGTAGAGCCAGTTAATTTTGAGTGCCTTTTTATCATATTATTTTTCTAAAAAAACTTTAACTATTGGAAATATTTACAGGCCTCCCTCTTCCCCGACTGATTCTATAAATTGTCAACTGTTAATTCTCTTGAAAGGCAAAATGAAGTGATTATCCTTGGTGATTTTAATAGCAACTGGCTAGATCGTTCCTCCTCTGCAGAAAAAAAAAAAAACTTATTAGGCAGTGTAAATCTCACTCAATTAATTAAGGAACCAACTACAGTTGATTGTCGGTATATACAGGATCCTTAAGTAAAATCAATACCTTTTAAAAACCTTTTTCAAGACCGTTTCAACATATTTTAAGACTGCCACGCTTTTGAGCTGCAACTGGTTAAGTCAGCCTCACACCTTTAAAAGGGGAATTGTAGAGTTTTAAAAGGAATTTAAACATATTTATAACATTTTATTGCTTATATGTGACCAGGTTATAACCTCACCTAAAAATTTAGGCATTCACCTACTCTCTCAGTTACCTATAACAGCCTGTTTTAGGCCTACGGTTTTCTATGTGAAGGACTGGACAGATTTCCTGCGAAAATCCATTGTCTTCCATAGGCTACGACATTTATGTGCACAACATTACTGCAAAACGTGAACACAGTGTGATTTTGTGTTTAGTTGGTTCAAATTAGATAATGTGAGGTTGCTTGCTAACGCCAAGCAGTTGCAAGATACCTGACATAGTTGTAACTTATTTTCAGGCATAAATATGGCAAGGGTGTACAGTTGGTTGCAATCTGAAACCTTACTGCTAGAAGCCACTAAAAACTACACAACGCACCTTTAACTTACATTTACTATAAATAGATTTTGAGACTGTAAAACTAAACACTCTTTTTTTGTGATAACTTACATCGACCACTGTATAAATGCGCCTTAATTCAAGAAAGGAAAAAAGCTGAAGAGAATAAACTGAGTGATGGATAACGTTAGTTAGGCAGTTTAGCACAGATATTTGTGATCAACAGCTGCTCTCTGCATCCTAAAGCTGATTTGTGTAAACATTAGTAAAACAGATGTAAATAGAAAGGGGAACATGTTGCTCTCAGGAGGAGGAGGAGGCTAGAAGCAGCACATATTGGCACAATGGCATCCTGGCTCTGGCTAAATCTGTCCACTACAGGGCTCCACAACCTGGAGGACGAGCTAGTATAAACAGTGTATTAGTATATTATTATAACATTATTTAAAAGTATATTGTTACTATATAATAGTAAACTGTTAGTTTGATCTTAATATGTTAAGTATATGTTGTTACTATATTCATTATAATTTCATAAATAGTATATAGCTTACCACTATTATAATATTAGTTTCAGTTCCAGCCGTTTCATTTTAGGATTGTTTCATATTAATTAACTTTGTGCAAGAAAAATGGAAAGTTTGCTGTAGCACATCAAACTTTTTTTTTTATGTCCCGCTCCATTCAGGCTGTGACTGATCTGTCCACGAGAAGTGACACTGACGAGCACATCTGCTTTATGAAAAGTTGAACGTGTTTCAATAAAAAGGCACAGATGTAGCTAAATAGCCAGCTAATGTTAGCCAAACCCAAGCGCTGCTTATATTTTCCCTGTTGTCTTCTGTCTTACCCCTTCACCTGCAACGCATCTTGCTCTTGTTTTTGAGTAGCGGGGTTGTTCAAGCGGCCACAGAGCTCAGTCCAAACATGTTTTGAACGATTATTATCGAGGGTCCAGCGTGGTGGAAGATTACGGTTGGTGGTGCTCGTAAATCAGTTTTCTGGTTCACACGGATCTATTTTTAGCGGCGTATGACAGTGAAAGGCTGGCACGGTAGAGCCCTGCACCCAACGTTAGACAAAATAATAACTCGCTACGACCTGCCTGTCTAGTAATTTTGGTTATGCAATATAAATAATATGTTCTCACACACTTTTAGCATACAAACTCTTTGGGCAAAAAGGATTTTCACATTGACAAAAATATCTACAAAATTTAATACCTTGTTGGTGATTAAGACTTTTTAATACTTTTTAATGACCGTAATTTTCGCAAAATTGATTTATTACCTTTAAGACTTTTTAAGACGCCACGAACACCCTGTATGTAAGGAATGCAAAATCTATTAGAGATAGCTTTTCACAGGATTTTCAAAATCCAGAAAATTCTGGAATCATTTGAACCGTGTACTCAATAAAAATAACAAAAATTATGCAAATCAAATACAAATTGACAATGCCATTATTTCAGATCCTTTACTCATTGCTAGTGCTTTCAATCATCATTTTTCTTCAATTACTAGTTCTAAAATTGTAAATTTAAATTGTAATGATATAGCTAGTCCTTCCAGCATGATCTGCTCTACTGGTGCATTCGGTTTCAGATCAATCATGCCTGTTGATGTTTTTCATGTCATTTGTGAGTTAAAAGAAAGTAGCAGTGCGGGTCCTGATGGTCTGCTCATGTGCTAATTGCCGTTTTATTCAAGTTGTCCTTTTCTACTTGTACTGTTCCCTCAACTTGGAAATGTGCACGAGTTACTCCTCTGCTTAAAGGTGGAGACCCATTTGATGTGAACAACTACCGTCCTATTTCTATTTTCTGTTCTATTGCCAAAATGTTTGAGAAATTAATTTTCAATCAATTATCACAATATCTTATACTCTAATCAGTCTGGTTTTAGACCTGATTTTTTAACCACCATAGCTCTTTTAAAGTTCACTAATGATATTCTCAGCATTTGACAAAGACCAACATAGTGGTTCTATCTTTATTGACCTTTCCAAGGCCTTTGATATGGTTGATCAGTACCTGCTGCTTGATAAGCTTTAGTCCATTAGTTTGCATCAAAATGTTCTACTCTGGTTTAATGTTAATCTTCACGGGAGGCAACAGTGTGTTGTTTCCACAGTTCCCAGTCTGATTATTTACTGCTTGATAAGTGAGTCCCCCAAGGTCCACTTTGGGACCCTCCTTTTTTCTATTTTCATTAATGATTTATCAATAATCTGTAAAAATTGCTCAGTGCATCTGTATGCTGATGATACAGTTATTTACACCTCGGACTCAAATATATTAATACAGAATTCCTTACAAGCGGATTTCAATATGATACAAAACTGTCTTCACATGAATAAATTAGTAATAAATAAAAAGAAGTCCAGTAATATGTTTCGGAACAAGGCGTGATTGTCTTAGTACTTTACATTTGCATATTAACTTTGAGGATGGGTCTCATGGATAAAGTGGATTCTTTTAAATATCTTGGCTTTTGGCTAGACCCTGAACTCAATTTCAAATTGCATATGGACCTCATTTAAAAAAAAAAAATCTATGGGTGTTTATGTTCTCTTTACCGTTCAATACATTGTTTTACATTTCATAACAGGAAAATAATTATTACTCAGTTGATATTGCCGATTATTGATTATGCTGATATCAACTATATGAACATCACTGACACCAATCTCAGGCCTCTTAATGTTGTTTTTAATTGTCTTTGTAGATTTGTGATGAGGTTTCCATTTACCACTCACACTGCTCATACAGGGGTCACTTAACTGGTTACAGCCTAAAGCAAGAAGCGAATTTCACTCAGCGCAATTGTGTGACATGTCACCTGCGTCCTCATCTACAGTGTACTCACCCTGGGTAACGCGTCCTGACTCAGCAGCTCTTGAAGGTTCCTCATGATACTCAGAACCAGGGTGTTACAAGCAAACGGGTCACACAGGATCATGGACAGGTCCCTGGAACGCACAGAAACACTCCAAAGATTAATTCACCCAATTATCTGAGATTAACAGCTCTTTACCTAAATTTAAACCGTCCCCACGTCTGTTACCCAAGGACTTGCTCTTGTCCTTTCTTCACTCCATCCAGAAAACCTTGCAGCTCTCTGGCTCGCTTGCCATCGACAAACTTCTCACGGATGCAGGCGTCTAAACACCAAGTGAACTGTCAAAGCACACAACCGAAAAAAAACAAGAGAGAGAGAAACATGTAGCACAAAGTTAAACCACAGGAAATACAAGGTCTGTGGCTCTTCAGTAGTACTGTGGTAAATGCTAAACAGATTTACCATCACTGTCTGTGTCCTCACCTTATGGCAGGGGTCTACAGAGCAGATCTCACTGATGTCCAGGTCATGAAGAGACATCAGCAGCTCTGCTCTCAGCGTGCAGTAGTGGACATTTCGTGTTCGCAGGAAGAGTGTTCGTAAAAACTGCAGCACCATGTCGTACAGCTTCACGTTCTTTCCAATCATCTGGGTCAGCTTAAGGACCACCTACAACAACAGAAACACTCAACCCCCATCACCTCACACAGGGATTCATGGCTCAAAGACTTTGGTTAGTATTTATTGGACATCTAACTTGCTAACTGGGACTCACCTCGCCTTGGCGTCTTGTTTTGGGAGAAGTGCTGAAGAAATTGTGCAGGATGGAGAGGTCACTGCTGAACAGAGCTGCTTCTTTCTCCACAATGTACTGCTTCAGGAGGGGCGACACTTCATCCCCAAACAGAGCCTGGTTGTCCTGCCAGATCTGCCTTTTCACCTCCACAGCACACACCTTGTACAGCTCCTTGTCTGCCATCACCATCTTCAGTTTTTTATCTGGTACCTGCAGGAGGGAACACGTGATCAAGATTAAGGAGAGTTCTTTCACTCAAATGTGTTAGTAAGGTTTGGTTCCACCACGAGCCACCGACAGCTTCAGTCTGTCACAGATTCTGCTGAACAGCATTCTGTCAAAAGATTTTCCTTCTGGAAAAGAGCACTCCCATCATAGGATGATGTCACTTAGATATTTTCTTACTGACAACTTGATCCAAAATCAACTACTTTGACATTTCACTTGACAGATTTAACTGCATCATGCACGACCCCTATGGTATCTATTCATAATGTTTCTCCATACAGCTATTCAGATATTCCTTTAATTTGTCCCCATTATGTACATCTTATAGCATGATTTCGGTATTTTTTAAAACTTGGGACCTATTATAACATATTTTGTTGTCGAAATGTCTAATAGGTACAAAAAGTTTTGGAATCCTGCAGTAGATGCTTCAGCTGGCAGCCACAAACTGGCTGCAACGTATTCCTTGCAATTCCTTCCAATTGTGCCCGTCAAAGTTATGTCCACTAAAAGTGCTTCTTTTTGCCACCGACAAGCTCAGACTGTTATACCAGGTGTCTGACAACATTGAGGAAAGGAGTAACACCCGGTGACACCCCTTGTTTTAACAGGAAACTGAAGTCTCTTTCAAGGACAATTCTCGCTCTGAAATATTGTGAGAAAGTTGTTGCAGGAAGACAACGGTGGAAATGTGAGTCAGAGATATTTTTAATGCACTGTACGTCTGTGACTGTACATGTTAACATGGTACAATAAACAATGTCTGTGACCCCAGCTGATTAAAGGTCAATACTGCACACACCCTGGTGATAAATTACTATTTTTAGTCTTCAACAGAGAAGAAATATCCCTAAAATACTTGCCTTGGGTAGATGCTTCAGCACCTGCATTACCACTGGCTGAATGGATGGCATTTTGACAAGTGGAAAGCTCTTCTCCAGCAGCTCCTCAAGCTTTCCGTATCTGTAAGTAGATTGAAAAGAAGCAAAGCATTCAATTTGGTTCCTTCAGAAAACATTACTCATAATCACAAACAACCAATGACACACCTGTCCTCGTCCTTCCCCTCTGCAATGGTGGCAACTCGCTCCATCAGCTTTTCTCGAAGCTCATCAAAGACAGACTGGTGGAACTCCAGCCGAGGCGTTCCGTGGAGGTCGAGGAAGGGAAGAGCAGACTGGAGGGTGGGCAGCAGGATGCCATTTTCCATCTGTCGTCATGTAACGCATCAAAAACTCATCAGGGATTAGTTCCAGCTGTAGCTGATCAATTTAGAGCCAGCTGAAAAAATGTTCCCTTGCTTATCTGCAATTTCTGACATCAGGTAGCACACGGCTAACACACCAGTGAAACTAAGCATCCCTTTATTGAAGAACTGCTCCGTTTAGTCTCTCTGGCTCATTGAAACACACATTGATATCATGGAATAACAAGTCAACCTATGCTAAAACAAAACATATTAAGAATGGAATAAAGTATCTGTAGGTTTATTGATTGCATGCAGATGTATATCTGCATAAACAAAACTTAAATATTAGTTGCTGAATTAAGATTGTTCTGTCTGAAGACATGATGCCACCTGTTAGGGTAAGCTCCAGCTGAATATCTGGACTTTCAACTGAAAACTAGACATTAAGGACCGTCTCAAAAACAAAATGCTTGTAGGAAAAACTAACTACACTTCAATCATTGCTATTCCTATTTTTTTTTTTGTAGCTGGTAGCTCACACTGTGAATTTGCGATAACTGACCAAACAGATTCATAAGAATAGAACACAGGTAGAACACTTCTTTATCTGGGAAACAATAACTTATTATACATGTATAATTCAAATCTGACACTTGTCAGAGAAAAAAAGCATTGTGTGCATAGAGAAATAGGGGTGTATGTGGGTCTGCAGGTGAGATCCTTGCATGCCGTTGCTATTTTGGTCTCACTGGTTAACCAGGTCTAACCATAAACATTAGTAATAAGCAAAGAAGAGAAAGGAGAGGGGGTTGTGGCTACAACCCCTGCTGGAGATGGGAGAAAGGCAAAGTAAAAATTAGTGGATATCTTATTTACAACACGCAACAGGTCGCATAACATTCAGTTGTAGGGCCATTCCCCGTAAGTTGTCCTCTGAATGTCCCCGTCTATACTAGTATTCACGAGATGCTCATCTGACCGTAAAGCGTTCCAGTCGGTGGAATCTCGTGGGCTGGCTATCGTTAACTTTACGTATTTGGTAACGTTAACTTATTAACGCTGCATTTGCAAAATCACACTATATAACCAATTTCTGCAACTACTAAACGTGTTGCACATTGCATCCATATTTTAGTGTTGTCTTTCATTGAATTTGTGCCGCGTTTAGCGAGATAACAAGCGACAGAGACGGGCAGCTAGCTAGCATGATGGCGTTACAAACTGACTTTAGCGTCATTTAACGTTACATCGTTTGGGAAACTCCGGGGGGCATTGGCTGGTATGCCAAATGCACACACAGCAGACTTTTAACATGAGCACATACGTGCAGTTTAGCATACAACCTTTCTATAGTAGCGTTAGCTTTACCTGAAACTGATCAATGGCTTTCAGCGGCTCTGTGCAGTTGGTGAGAGTTTCTTTCAGGTCCTCGCCGTTGGAGATCCCGAGCTCAGGCAGCCCCGCGAACATTTTGGCTGCTGTTTAATCATCAATGTCAAGATGTCTGTTTGAGTGAAGTCTTCTGACTTGTGGATTTGTAGCCGAAAAGAAAATCGCTTCCTACAAAATACACTTACACATTATGCTTTTCGCTGTCAAAGCAAACTTCCTGTGTTGCAACTTTGTAAACAGTCCGCCAGAAACACATGACGAAAACAACCCGTGCTTCATTTGTGCTCTGAAACAAAGGACATCATTTGTTTTTGTGGTTAATTGTACGCCGCATGGTCTGCTGTTTTGGCTAAATCCTGAACCCTACATATGTTAATCATTAGGAGTATTTGTGTTAATAAATGATAATTACAGACGTGTTTATACGTGATTATGATCACAGACGTTAAAATGACTTCAAGCACTAGGAGACTGTCTAGTCATTGCTTTTACTTGTGACTAATCAGTAATTTCACTGAGGAACAAAAGAGAATATCCAAATCCCATTAATAATCTGTAGGTGATTGTGCCTGTTGACACTGCCAATGGTATGGGGGATATTTCTGGTCATAATTAAAATCCAAATAGAAAATTAAAAGATACAGTTAAATAGATTATTATTTTTACTACACCACAAGGGAATAATCAGGCCATAAACTTAAAAAAAGCAAAAGCAAAATTAAAAGTATGTTTATATTTAAAATGTTGGAAAATATAAAGTGAAAATAAAAAGGTTAAAATTTAATTAAAAAAATTAAACGGAAATGCTCAAACTTAAAGGTTAAATCGTAAAAATTAAATTGAAAATGCCAATGGAAATAAGAAAAGGGCAACATCAAATATAAAAACTAACATATATGGAAATACTTAAATTACAATCTTAAATAGAAAAAACTAATATTGGGTCTCCTACTCTACCTCTAAGCCTATAAACCCTAAGGTATAACATTACATAATAAATCAGAAACATTTACAAAAAAATCATTTATTCTGGAGTTTCATTTTACACACACTCCTCTAAAGAGGCAAGCAGAAAGTTTGTGGATTTGCAAAGAAAATTGTGCACACATTTTACTGATTTGTTGATTTCACTTACATACACACACACACACAATAAAGTGCAACAAAATCTAAAATGTTCTTGCATTTTTTTTTCAAAAGAAACAGAAATGTTTTGACGGACATATGCGTACAATAGAGAAATATGAATTGGACTAGGGAGTGTGTCACCCATGCTCTTACACCATGGCTTCTCTATTTCTAGTTCTGTAGATCATTATTAGATATCCCACTGCAATGAGGAGGAGGGTGATGAAGAGGAAGAGAATGCCAGTCCAGGGACCTGATGGCAGGGCCTTCATCAGTCCAAGGCTCTCTGCTTGGACTATATTGCTCTGACTCAGCATGTACCCCAAAGCCCAGCCTACAGATGCTCCTCCTGCCTGCAAAAACACAAGAGGGGACCCACTGAAACCACAGAACAACATGGCCAAGCTTCCTGATTTCAGGAATTTCAGACAGCGCTGCTGATAGGAGTCAGTAGTCACAGACTGAAATCCCAGCAAATGAACAAAAATGTTTAATGTATTTCCTTTACTCCTGACCTTTTTCTGAAAAGAGATGGAAGGAAAGGAATGCTCATTGAAACCGTAGCCCTTTGTTAAGATGACCTGGACAAAATTGGAGACGGCGCAGACATTCTTCATGTATTTCTCTGACTGATTTGTCTTTTCAGTCATCTGTGAGTGGAAAGTAGTGGAAATACAGTGAATTAAATTTTTATTTTGTTATTCAAATCCCTAATCCTTTTGATCTTGTCTTCCATGATTGTAGAAAAATCAAGTATAGTCAAGAGGACATAACATGAGTAGTGAGAATGAGGGTTTACTGCCCTATTTGGTGATTTTAGACAAACATGAAAATCTGTATTGGGGGCTAGGCTCAGAGAGCTGTGTGCTCAAGAGTACCTCAGAGATGGTCATGTTACAGATGAGACGGATTGCCTCTTCTAGTCGACTGGGTGACGTGATGGGGATGTTAGTGAGGCGGTTGATGTAGCTGTGAGTGAAGAAGAAGGCAGAGAATGCCTGTAGAGAAGAAGGAACACTGAGTCAAACGAGAGTCACATACTGTTGCTGAGCTGGGGAAGGTTAGTTTTCAGACCAACAGCCATGAAAACATATTGCAATAACTGAAAGCTGAGCACCACCTTACTGTTAAGGTTGAAATTAATTTAAATAATTAATCATAAGAAAAACAACTGACAGCTAATACTGACTTGTATGCAAAATACTGCTGAATTAAACATGTAAGATCCCCTTGTGATAGATTTCTGCTTTCCATTCAATTTGTTGCATTTTGTCTTTTTATCTGGCATTTCTTCAAAATGACTTACCAAGTGCATTCAAATTCAAAAGGAACAAGAGTACAACCCTCCCAAATAAAACTAAGAGATTAAGACATTTGCCTTCTGCATTTCTATGCCAGTTACAGAAGAGTACAGTGGTGTGTCTGCAGGGTATACCAAACTCTGGGCAGGGGGATTTACAGTAGACCTTCCTAACAAGACAAAGGATCTACAGCCATGCTAGCTGCTCTGAAAGGATATACCTAGGCACAGCGATGCTTCGATCTAAATGCTAACCTCAGCATGCTAACATGCTCACAGTAACGATACAAACATGATATTTTGCTGGTATAATGTGGCTGAGGCTGATGACCATCATTAGATTTGCACGTTTGGTCATAAACCAAACGAGTACAAACAAATACTGTGCCCTGATGATGCTGCTAAACGAAAGGTTTAGGGGTCACCAAAATTATTCCATTGCATCCTGAGAAAACCATGAATGTATGTACCAAATGCCATGGAACTACATCCAATAGCGGTTGACATTTCACTTCAGAATGGACCAAAATGGAGGACAGACTGACTGACAGACTGACTTCCCTAGACTAATTCTGCTTGCATTGCTAACAATATCCAGAAATAAATATCGGTTTCCAAATGCTCAGCAGAGCACGGTTGCAGCAATCATGTTGCAATCTTTCCTGAGATCTGTGGCATTTCCTGTGCACAGACCTTTGTTGCCTGACTTTAGCCTATAGGGCAGTGCTTCTTCCCAGGCAACATCACCAAGCCTGGAGAGAAGCACTGTCCTAAAAGATAAATAAAAAGTCCCTTCCATTGCTATGATTCCATTATTTACTTAGGCTTATATAACTTGAATGTCCTCTGAGAGATAATTTGTAGTCCAGGACAAAACATAAAGACACATAAAACACATCAGATACACAAAAGCAAATGATAAGAAATGTAATCACATTCCAGGTAGGCATTTAACGTGCATGTCAACCAACAATTGTCATATTTCCTGTTAAATAGGTATACACTATGAAATGGAGAATTAGCAGACATTGCAACTCTAACAATATTTAGACCAGCAAAAACATTCATCATGTAAAACGAGTGAAATGCCAAAGAATGCAACAAACATGAACGTTTTGTCAATGAGTTAAAGTTATTCTTCACTGTTTTCAATTTTTGCCCCATCAGCTATGGGTAGTTGCTGTCTCTTTCTAAAAGGCTTCCTCACCATGAAGCTTCCTCTCACATTGGGCTGGAAGACTCCATCAAAGGAGCACTTGGAGTAAGAGCAGTTGTCAAAGGAGAACATGTTTTTTATGTTGTATAGGCAGTTCTGGTAATTTCCTGTGCCCACTACTGATATAGACATCTGGGGGTCAAACTGGGCTGGTCTGTACTTTTTAGTACATGGAGAGTCAAACACATCCTCTCCCAGCTTGATAGATGTTTTGAACTGTTGTGGATAGCAGGGATGGTTCAATTCGGGTTTCACACCTTCAGTCTGGAAGAGGCGATAAAGATAAAAAGTAAACATTCTGCTGGTAAATATAAAAGGAAGTTGCATCATATGACACCCTTTTATGTACAATTCCAGATAAACTAGTAGAAAAGGTAAACATTTAAAATTACATTGGCTGGTGGTATTTATACTACCTATGTGCATATAGGCATATATAAGCACACATTGTGGATTTTAGTTAAAAGCACACCCTTCACTAAGGGCCCTCTGGTTCAAATATTCTGGTTGGCAAGTGAACTGCAACAAGACAGTAAATTTCTGAAGTGCAGGAGTGCTGTTATTTAGCTGATTTTAACCTCTGACCTCACAGGTGGTCAAGAAGAAAGAGAATCTTTACTTAGTCACTTAGTCACTTAGTCTGTCCACTTTTTTAACAGTACCATGATAAGATGAGCCAGTAGCTTCTTCAGGAACTGGTCTTGGCCATAGCACAGGAAACTCTGAGTGTATATTTTGTAGTTTTTTCCATAAAGCTCCAGCGCCATCACGTTCTGCTTGTCCTCCACCTCTTCCGAGGTCTCAAAAGTAATCTGAGTGGAAGCTCCGCCTAAATCCAAAGCTCCAATTGTCTCTCTGCCTGGATTCAGCCAACGCCCGACAAAACCACACTGAATGACAAGAAAGGACATCCATTTTTTTTTTTTACTGATGTAGGACAATACAAATATTCCAACAGTAAATATTTTAGCCAAGCAACCAATGTGAATCTATGGCAATGTCAGTTGGTCATAGTCTGTCACATAGGCTATCCCTTTGGTTCAGAGTAAAACAGCCCTGTTATTTACCAGAGGATCACACCTAATGACGATCTATTGACATTTCAATTAGCACCACAAGCAGGTCAAATGGATTGGCATAAAGTTATGTGCAGTAATTTATGTTTCCCAAACTATGAGCCCAAATAACTTTGGTGATCTGCTGATGCGTCATAGGTTCTGAGCACCTACTATCAAGGGCATCACTTTGGTTTGAAAAGTGGTGGGGATGGCTCAGATTAAGGGCGTGATGATGCATTTGAGTCACAAGACGTGAAGATACACAAGACCAAGACAAGAAGCGTTTTAGCACTATTTTGATGAAATATTGGATGCTGAAATATATGAGCAGGGGGTCCTCCCCCAAAAGATTTTGAGCATTAAACACTTTTCATTTTCTGCTCCAATTTATGGTGGAAATTTGAAGGGAAACATAATAATTAAGTTAAATGTAAATGCTCCGTACTTGTATAGCGCCTTTCTAGTCTTTTCGACCACTCAAAGCGCTTTTACACTACATCCACCAGTCATACACATTCATACACTGAGCCTAAGTGCTCAAACGGAAACTAACATTCACACTCATTCATACATTTCGGGGTTCAGTATCTTGCCCAGGGACACTTCGACACACAACCAGGGGCAGCCATATTAATTTGTTTGTTAACATTTCTGGGTGCAAGCTATTTTTCAGAAAATGTTGCCAGGAAGTAGGAAAGTGTGTTTCATGTCGGAAAAATGCCAACAGACAATACACTTAACACACATTGATGCACACTTTCCCAATACATTTTGAAAGTGGTATTCAGAGCCAAGTGCATCCCTCAATTCATCACAGTTTACTGCAATTGTGGTGATGTCCCTATAAACTGATTTTAGGATAAACAAATATCAGCAGACATGAAGAATTTTGTGACTTGTTGGATTCAGTGTGTACGCAATAATCTTCATGACACAGCCTGTCTTGCAGGTCTTTGAAGAAAGGAAGGCTAGTTGCAATATTACTGCTACATTTAGTTTGAAGTTCCTGTGACGTGACCCTCCCACTGTTACACATTATGCCTGCATTTAGAGTGAGCACGAAAAGAGAGAGAGAAGAATGAGAGAAGAGAGAAAGCGCGCATTGGTTATAGCTTCATGGCTTGTCAGTGACTACTGAATTGTCCCTGGCAATTATTTTGATGAAAACATTATAAATATAAATGTTGTCTGTAATTGTCTAGTATTTGCTAAACAAACATGTTAACACAGGTCCATAGCCGCAAATTGGGAAGAGAATAACATGACACACCTGACAGCGACACAGAAACCTTTCTATCTGTGTCTGAGTTCTGTGTTTGTTAGGTGGAATGAACGGGATACTGCCATATCAGCAGAACAATAACACAGGCTAATGCATAGCAGAGTACAGGGCAGGTAGATTTTGTTAAAATATTACGACTTTATTCTGGAAATGTCAGAGAACACAGATATGTGGGAGAGATTCTGAATGTGCAGAAAGTTTTGAACAAATAATCTGAGCATGATTGAGCACATGTTTTTGTGCAAGCTACAGAATGGCCTCAGTAACCAAACATTGTCGAGTATGCTGCCCAATAAACTTCCTCATGTATGCAGTAAGTAAACTCTGGCGGTGACATGGCATTTTAGTGCTCAGTTAGTGCCTAGATGGTGGTAAGGTGCACAAGGTGCTCACCTCCTGGGCTCAAAGTCAAAGTTAGAGCTTACCTTGACAAAGTTTTCAAGTAAGTAGTTGACTGTGACCCAGCCATATGCCCCCTCCTCCTGTCCGCTCAGGATGGTTGCCTCTTTAAAATCGAAAGGGTAAGACTGCAGTTTGTTTTTCACTTCCTTCAGTACCTGCTGGGACTCTGTGGCATTGACTATGCTAAAGAGTTTTGAGAGGTAAATGGGGAATGAAACAATATTAAATCCTTCCATTATACATTTTAATGCATTCCTACCATGGTAATGGTGGTAATGTTAGTTTAATATCCTGTTTTACTGACTTCAAGAGCCTCATGCCTGCAGTACAACCCAGATAGAGTGGAGTTTGTTGGTGCATGAATTTGGGTATATCCTTCGCAGCTTGTTCCAGACAGGCCTCCAGACTTTTTGCAGCACCACCAGGAACACCTGCATAGCTGGATATACCTCCACCTTGACAGAAAGAGAAAGTAGTGCTGCTTAAAAAAAGATCAGCCTGACTTTCACAAAAACTGCATTTTCTCTAGTTAGTGTTACTAAGGAAACTCAAAAACAAACCAAGACAAGACGAGGAACAGCTCTTAGTGACTAAGATGGCACACACTGTCTGGCGAAGAAGTAAACTACTTTGGAACAAAGTCCTTGCACAAGACATTGTGGAAGTGAAAGTGAGAGTGTTTTTACCACAGGGCCCGTCTGGGGATAAAAGGTCAGTTCAGCCAAAGGTAATTTTTGAAAAAGGTAATTATTAGGGATCCAAACAGCGAAGCTGCTGGAGCCCTATTGGTTTTCTTTTGATTCTTCTTCGTCTTCTTCTTTTTCTCCTATTAAGTGTTTGGGCAGCAAAAACTGCTGGACAAAAACTCACCAAAATTGGCACCTAGGTTGCAAATTCCACCCACTACTCAGGCAAATAAAAGGGCCCTCATAGACCTCATGGTGGCACTATAACAATCAACTTTGCGTTTTTGCAATTATCTCGAAAACTGCTTCATTTAGAGTCAAACTTCTTTCATTATTTTAATCTGTGGATTCATCTGCATCTTTGCTCTAAAAATGTCAAATTATACAACTTTTTATCACTTTTCTCTAAAACCTATTTTTGCGAACTCGTCTCAGATGGTTTAGCGAATCGACCAGTTTGGCAGGATCATCTATGGACATCGCTCATCAAAAGTTATCAAAAGAGTTTTGAGACGTCAATCTGTTTGTTTTCATAAATTTTTAGTTTTGTGTATTTACGTACAATTTTACATAAATCAAAACTGGCTTAAGCTATTGTCACCAAACTAGACGCATCTGCTCAGATGCTCGGCCCAAACTTCGCTGAGCAGTCCTGGGATATTCTTCCACTAGGGGGCGCTACAGTTGCAAAAAGTTTATGCCTCATAATTTGGTTTGTACAATCTCGGGTCACTACTCAGTTGATGTATAACATATGGTAATGATTGCGCAAAGTGGGCGTGGCTTATTATAAAAATATACATTTGTAGACATTTCTGATTCCTAACTTCAAAAAATCAAAGATAATCATCCATACGTCCTAGAGAGCTTCAGCACATCCACTGATTTGTGACTAACGTTTGCCTCACTGCATCCTATGGCCAATTCAGAAGTCAGTCACTCTATATTTTTCAGAATATGCTAATTCAAATAACATCTATATCTCCACAAGTCTTTCTTCAAACACTACCAAAATCAACACAGACATTCTTTGGATGGATTTAGATCAGTCAAACAGTGAGTCTGCAGTGATTTTCAGTATCTTGCTATAACTTGTACTGTTACGTCCCACCCTTTGGTGGCAACATGGGACGAACAACATCCCAACACTGACCCAAACTCAACACAAATAAACACCTTTAAAACAACCAAATCAAGTGAATTTATTAACATAACTAGGCAATAATTTAAGGACACCAAAAACACAATACAAAAATGCCCCAGCTGGGAAGCAGCAAGGCTAGCAGTACCAAATCAAGAAGGGTCCCCTCCTGACACTTGCACAGCAGCTTTTAAAGCCCGCCTTCAAAGGCCAGGTGGACCTTATTCGGTAATTAGCTGGAGCACTCCCAGAACAGAACTGAAAGACAGAAAACATGGACACAGCACAGGGAAATACATACAGCCGTAACACCCCCACCCTTAAAACAAAGAATAACTTTGTTGTCACACAATCACATGTACAACATCAACATGGACCAAATATAGCTCACAAGTGTTCACTGTGACAAGTTATTCTTAGGAATGCACTGGACCGAACTGAGGTATGACTTACCAAGGCTGTATGTTTAGGTAAACCCAAGTAAATTTACAAAAATAAATCCACGACACAACACCTCACAGGTGCACTAATCCAGGTTTGCACTCAAGTAGGCACATACAATGTTGCTGAGCGCACCCACATGGCAACTCTTCAAGCCTCAATATGCAGCAAACTCTAGACAAAAAGTGAACGTGGGTCAAATGTGGAACATACCTAATCCCACATGCAAGGGATAACTAAGTTGGCACTGGATTTAAGAACAGCAACCACACTTGTAGCCAAATCAGCGGGTGCCACTTCCACAAATTGGCCACTATCGTGAGGTGAAAAGACCACAAAACCAGACACAAGTTACTGCATTTACCTACACCCCTGTAACACTGGTGACCCGCACAAAAGTGGAGCACAACAGCCACACACCAAAAGGGTCCACACAAGTAGACCAACTACAAGGTAGCTGCCATACACAAACAGCAATACACCACGACCCAACAAAAGTGAACTGTCGCAACACAATATGGGCACCATGTGGTCATCAACCACCTACACTGGTTACTCGAGGATTTAGGAAACCAGCAACACAACCGAACCTGACGAACTGGGAGTGTACCCCCACCACTTTAAATCCAAAGGTCTGTGGTGTTGGCACATCCCAAACGCACAAAAAAACTAAAATTAATGTTCTGTAACTAAATACACAACCGCAATAACACACGTGTGACCACACCAGAAGGTGGACTGCAACAACCACAACACAAAATGGTCACATTGTAGTAAACTACACACAAATGTTACCAACTTACACCCAAGAAGCAACCGACGAGTGACCTACCAAGTGTGGAGTACAGTTACCACTAAACAATGGGTCACGATCCACAAGTTATTTCAAACAAGAGTATTTCACAGCTGGAAGAGAAGTGACCAAACAAAGCAGTCATCTCAAACAAATAGCTAAAGCTGTTGTGCATAGTGCTAGGGACAACAAGCTGCATAGAGACACCCCAACCTACCTACCTACCAAGATGGCTAAACTAATCTAGCTAGTCTTCAGTGGCTTGCCGAGCTCGAGGCAACTTTAAACGCTGAACTCAGTGCATCACCGAAGGCCACAGATGTAGCCATCTGCGATCCACTGAAGCGTGCCCCCACTCAGAATTGCCACCAAAAATAAGAAAGGCAAAAAAACAAAGTGGCAAGTTCTTTAAACCTGCCCGGTGGCTACCTAGTTAGAGTGCTCAACAGCAAAAACTCCCAAGCTACTGAGTTACCCCAGCCGTAACAGTACAGTATACACAACATTTTCTTTTTTTTCTCAGTTTTGGATCAAATGCTATCAATATAAGTGACAACACACCCAAAACCAGCAGATGGTTGTGTGATTTTTTTCAGAATTTTCTCACTAACATCTTGACTGTCTGTGTTTTAAGTTTGAACTGACAAAACTATCCAGGTCTGGCACATGTGACGTCACCTGTGAGAAGGCGTGCCCAACACTGGCCGAAACACCCTCCTCACCCCAGTAAGTCACCTATTCTGGGGATCCAACCAACGCATTCGCATCTCAGTGCGTCATAACTGGCGCTTTCAGACAGCGTGACAAAGCGAGGAGACAGAGAGCGCGGGAACGGGGATCGACTTCCGGACGCCGAAGACTGGATGATTCACGGCTAGGAGGAGTTGTACGGTTTGGAGGGCGATTCAAATTACTTTGAGACTCATTAATCTTACAAGGGACAAGTAGTTGATATCTCAATTGGCATCTCCTGTGAGAGTTTGTGTTGTGAGCTGAAGCAGCAGGCAGCTCCCCAACGAGGGATGGGCTATGCCGCCGAAGGGGAAAACTAGTGATGGTGCTGGGAGTAATGACAAAAAGTCCAGACAATCTGAAAAAAGAGATAGATCTGACAATGGAAGTGGAAGTGAGAGTGACGAGTCCCAAAGCACAAGGAAAATGCCAAGATCTGAAGAGGAGGGTGAATTTAGGATGATAGTTAAATTCAAAGATAAAAGTGACAAAGCCTTAAACCCACTCAGACTATCGGAGGAGCTAAAAAACAAAATGGGAAAAGTTCTAAATGTGAAAATGATGATGAATGGGAATATACTTGTTTTTTGCAGAAATGATAATCAGAGGTTGAATGCCCTTAAAGTTTGGCATTTGCTTAACAGGCCTGTTGAATGTTTCGTTCCTGGTCAGGCTAAAAATGCTAAAGGAGTGATCTATGTAAGCCTTGAGATAGAAGAGAGTGACATCTTGAAGAATTTAAAGGGAGCTGAGGTTGTAGCTGTACGGAGATTCAAAGAAACCGGTACTGCTGTGCTATTAACATTCAAGCAAGATATTGTGCCAGCAAGGGTCAGCCTTGGATATATTAGCTTGCCAGTGAGACAGTATATTCGTCCCCCACTGCGTTGTTACAATTGTCAACGCTATGGCCATGTAGCAGCAGCATGCGGAGGGAAAAAAAGATGTGGGAAGTGTGGAGGAAGCCATGACTTTATTCAATGTAAAGCTGATATAGTCAAGTGCTGTAACTGTGGCGGAAATCATGTATCTTCATTTAGGGGGTGTGAGCATCATGTTAGAGCTGTGGGAGTAGAGAAATTGAGAGTTGAAGGCAAAATATCATATGCAGATGCCCTGAAGAAAGTGAGGGGAACGGGGGAACCTTCCAGACAAGTGGTAGTTGAAGTGCCTTCTGATTCCCAGCCTGATAGGGAGAAAGTGAGGCAGATTGTGGGAACCCAGTCATTCCTGGCATTCATGGTAGATGTTCTGTGGGCAGTTAGAGACCAAACCAGAAGATCTGACGTTATTAAAGTGGTGGTGGATGCTGCAGAGAGATTTCTGGAAGAGGCATGTATGGGTCCTGAAGAGTTGCACAAGTATATGAGACAGAAACTGGAAGTTTACGAAAGAGGTAGGGGAAAACAAAAGATCACTGACAGTAATGAGGAATGAACTGGGGGAAGAAACATGGACATAAATGATGATAGTTAAATTGCTGATGTTTTACATCTTACAATGGAATGCACGGAGTTTGATGGCTAATGGACAGGAACTTAAGAGATTTGTTGATGAATTTAAGGATCCACCAGAGGTGATATGTATTCAGGAAACTTGGCTTAAACCATGCTTAGATTTTGTGATTCCTGGATATGATAGAAAAGGAAAGTCTGGGGGAGGGTGTGCAACATTTATAAGATCAGATGTACAGTATCAAAATGTAGAGATAATGTCTAAACTAGAATGTGTTATAGTAAGAGTCTGGGGACAGCACAGGTGGATTAACATAATAAACATGTATAATCCTTGTTTGCAAATAAATCTAAGCGAGTTGGAGTGGGTTATGGAACAAGTAGGGACACCGGTCATTTGGGTGGGGGATTTTAACTCTCACAACCCTCTTTGGGGTAGCAGAATAAAAGATAATAATGGGAGCACTATAGAGGAATTTATGGACAGGTGGAGATTAGTTTGTTTAAATGATGGCAGGCCAACTAGATTTGATATTAGAACAGGAAATGTTTCATATATAGATTTGGCATTAGCGTCCAGTGAACTAGCTAGGGTTGGAGAGTGGGATTCTTTGGACAGATATACAATAGGGAGTGATCATTACCCAATATTATTGAGGTTTGGGAAAACTTTATTGAGTGAAGAACAGGGTAACCAAAACTTATTTAATTATAGTAAGGCAGATTGGGCACTTTTTTCTGAAAAGTGTAACAAAACTATAGAGGAAGTAAATGAGGAAGGGACAATAGAGGAATGGAATAGCAGCTTATGTGAAATAATTATGAAAAGTGCAATTGAATCTATCCCGATAAAGAAGTGTTCTAAAAGGAAAATTAGTGTGCCATGGTGGAACAAGGACTGTGATAAAGCAGTAAGAGACAGGAATTGCGGGTATAGAGCATTGAGGAAACATCCAACAGAAGATAAAGCAGTAGAATATAAAAGACTGCGAGCCAAAGCACGCAGAGTGATTAAGACTGCAAAAAAAGAGTGCTGGAGAAAATACTGTGGAAAACTAGGGGCAGAGACTGCAGTAACAGAAATATGGCGGGCAGTACATCGTATGGCAGGAAGTAATAGGAAAAGGAAAATGCCAGTTTTAGAGGATGGAGGATTGTTTGCTACAAGTGATTTGGATAAAGCAAAGCTATGTGAAAATAGCTTTAGAGCTGTTCACAGTGGAGCTAACATTGGTGAAGCAGGTATAAGGAAAAGAAATGAGATATTAGAGCAAAATCGATACAAACTTGAGATAAATAATGATAATTCTGATGTGGGTAATTTATTTTTCTCATTAGAAGAATTGCACAGGGCAATTGGAAAAGGAAGGAAAACAGCCCCGGGAAAGGATGGTGTTAGCTATGAGATAGTTAAGAATCTTAGTGACAAAGTTTTGGAGGAAATCTTGGCCTTAATGAATCACATATGGCAAGAGGGAAGTCTACCTAGCACATGGAAGCATGCACTGGTGGTTCCAATATTGAAACCAGGGAAAGACGCTTATAAGGCAGGATCATACAGGCCCATTGCACTGACATCAGTCCTATGTAAAATAATGGAAAGGATGGTTACAGACAGATTGGTTTATAAGTTAGAGAAGAAGGGATGGTTTACATCAGTACAAAGTGGATTCCGTAGAGGGAGAAGTACCATGGATGCCGTTACGTCCCTTGACAGTGATATAAAGAAAGCAATGGTGAATAGAGAAGTATTAATGGCGGTGTTTATTGATATTGAAAAGGCGTATGACATGCTATGGAAGGAGGGGCTTGTCATAAAACTATATGAGGCTGGAGTCAGAGGGAGGATGATTAACTGGATACAAGACTTCTTGAAGGACAGGAGAATTCAAGTTAGGGTTGCAAATGCTTTATCAGCTGGTACAGGTATCGATAACGGAACTCCTCAGGGTAGCGTGATAAGCCCAGTCCTTTTCAATATTATGATAAATGATATATTTGAAGAAATTGGGAATAGTTTTGGAAAATCTCTATTTGCTGATGATGGGGCCATCTGGAAAAGGGGCAGGAATGTCAAACAAATAACTGAGCAAATGCAAGTAGCTCTGAACAAAGTAACTAGTTGGGGTGAAAAGTGGGGGTTGAGGATATCAGTGGAGAAATCAAAGTATATAATATTTGGTAATAAGAAAACTGAATGTGGTGGTTTATTTTTGTATGAACAAGCAATTGAGAGGGTTAAAGAGATCAAATTTTTGGGTGTGCATTTGGATGAGAAGCTAACATAATATGTAATGCGTTCCCTCTCAGGTAGCACATGGGGTGCAGGTAGAGATACTCAACTAATGATCTACAGGGCAATGATAAGATCTAGGCTGGATTATGGTGTGTGTTATGGGACAGCCGCTGATACACATTTAAAGAGGCTGGAAGTAATACAAGCTAAGGCACTGAGACTATGTTGCGGGGCCCTCCGTACAACTCCAGTCCCAGCTTTGTTGGTAGAGATGGGGGAAATGCCATTGTCAATTAGACGGGAGAAATTGGCAATGCAGTATATTGTTAAATTATGGGCACATAAAGGAGAACACCCTACAAAAATAGTTCTAAGTAATGCGTGGGAGTGGGGATCAGGGAAAAGGAGGAAGGAATGTTTTATGTTTAACATCAGGAAAAAAATTGAGGAACTGGGACTGAAGGAGGAAGGGGTGGCCCCGCAAGTGTACTGGTCAGTTGTACCACCGTGGTTGATGTCCATACCAGAAATAGATCTTAGTATAATGGATAACATCAAACATCATGAAGGCACAGAGTATCCCAATATGGTAAAGCGAAGACTGGAAAATCAGTGGGGAACTTACCTTCAGATATATACAGATGGATCCCAAGATCCACAAACTGGGAAGTCAGGCTTTGCTTTTTATATCCCACAATATGAATATGTAAAGCTTAAACGACTGTCTGAGGGGGTATCGGTGTATACAACAGAACTTCTAGCTATTATATGGGCACTAAAGTGGATAGAGGAAGTGCAACCAAGGAGAGCAGTAATATGCTCAGATTCGGCTTCAGTGTTAAAAACTCTGGGAGGAAGTAATATGGGAGCTCGGCCAGATCTGTTTATGGAGCTGATGGTTCTGTTGTATAAAATCGAAAAGGCTGGAGGGTCAGTGGGATTTCTCTGGGTCCCTGCACATGTTGGGGTAGAAGGGAATGAGGTGGCAGACAAGGTAGCAAAAATGACTCTGAAAAGAGATATTGATTTAGAAGTTTGTATTGGGGTCACTGAATGTAGATCTGTCATTAAGGAAAACACTATAGTAGTATGGCAGAGGCAGTGGGAAAAGGAAACAAAGGGCCGGCATTATTATGCAATACAAAACAAAGTAAAGACAGAGCAGAGTTGCTTGGGTAAATCCAGAAGACAAGCTGTAATTATGACAAGACTAAGGCTGGGACACTGTGGATTTGCATGGGATCTAGCGAAGATAGGCAAACATGAGGATGGGCTCTGTAGAACCTGCAATCAACAACAGACTGTTAATCATGTGTTTATGGAATGTCAACAGTATAAAAGGCAAAGAGAACAACTGTATTCTGAGGTAGCAGGAGATGGATTACAAGCAGTGACATTGAGAGATATTTGAATCCTCATGAGAACCAATCAAGGATAGTGGAAGCAGTCATGGATTTTATATCTGCAACAGGATTAGCCCTCTGAGAATGAAGGTGCTATAAAGCGATACCGAGACTGAACTGTGGGTGGCAGCAATATGCCGTAAGGCATCTAGTCTGCCGGAAAGCCAGTAGAAGAAGAAGAAGAAGCGTGACAAAGCGTAAGGATTTTACGGTAAAGGTACCCTTAAGCGTCCGTATGAAACGCCCTCGTTTGCTGCGTTGCAGCAACACAAGGGAAGCTAACCCTACCTGTTATCACAACCGGCGATGTGCGCAGCTGTAGGGTTAGCCGGTCGACATGCATTAAGTCAGTGACTTAGGTTTAGGTACTAACATTTCTGATAGTTATGGTAAGGGTAGGTGCTTCGGGGGGCTGTCTTTATCACGAACGTAGCTACCGCTAGCTAACTAGCACTTCCGGTCTGTACAGGACGCCCCAGAGCGCCCGGAAGCGTCTCACACAGACGCTAAAGGGTAACGTTACCTCAAATCACTTTTTCTGAGAGCTTTTGGTTCAAAGGTTCAAATCCCCGCGTGACCAAGTCAGACTTGCTGACAATGGGGGTGTTCAGGTCATAGTAAGTCAAAGTTCCCTATTTTATTTGGATCCTGTGACACTTTTTCTTATTTTTCTCAGCTTAAAAGTGTTTGTGCAGCTTAAACTTTAAACATTGGAAACACAAAATGTTGCTAGTGGGTTGAACAAACCACCCAGTAGTCACGTATATATAATGGCACTCTGATCTCAAGGTGATGCTGTAAAAATCAAGTCTGCGTTTCCCTTTATTATCTCAATGACTAAATTCTTTCGCCACTTTAATTTTCAGAGATGGATATATGGGCAGATTAAACCCAAACTATTTACATTGCTAGATACCACAACAGGTAAATTCTATTGTAATTGTAATTGTAATTTGGTTATATACACTGGCAGGAGCTCACCTTCTGCATGACACTCGCTGTGCTGGGTAACAATCCCAGTGCCATTTAGCTTGTCAGCTGGCCATTTGTAGATATACATGGAGGTGTGAGATGAGCCTGCATCCAGAACGATTCCATACTGAAACAGAAACATACAATATGGTGCCAGAACATACTTTAGTAATGCTGCTCAGAATATGAACCACTGGGCTGCCCCAATATATTGCTTTGCCAGGTCAGATCATACTAAACTACTATGACTTATTAAATACCTCAATGCGCCTCTGATAATACAGGTTCACTGTATAAAATGGTGAATAATGTTATTTTTCTGTGTGTATTTTATTTACTAAGGTATTTGTATTAGCAGTTGAAACCACTCTGTGTACCAGCTTGTTTAGGCTTGCTCTGTTTAATTTGCACTTTTAACTGGGGCACTGACACAATGTGGCTACAGCAAAGACCTCCTTTGAATTGCCAAAGAATTTTCTTTGGTGTTTCTTTGGTAACATTTTGAGTTATATTATTATGTATTATGTATTCAAGTGTCTTACTCATGCAGCAATGGTGACTTTGTCTTTCTTTGTGTGATCTTTTGCAAGGACAACTTCAAAGCATCACATTCTCTTCAAGTATAATTCAGTAGGCAGATGGGGATGGCAGGATATGCCAGAATGAGATCAATGTATACAATGATATGACATTTTGTAGTGTCTGGGAGCAAAACAAACGGAAGAGAACATGAATAGAAAGAATATCAAATAAACACCAAACCACTTATTTTATATCACACTCTTTGTTTCTTTGTGTTGTATCTTCTCAGAGGTGCTCTGCATCACTTCCTTCTGCAAAACACCTTTTAACTTTTGAGGTTGGCAACCGCTGGTCAGGAAATGCATGAAAACCTGCATGTTTCATTTTTAACATTTAGCTGACATGCAGACTTATGGCTCATGACATGAGGCTCAAAACTGTAACCATTTTATTTTTTGGGAAATCTGAGAGATTTTTCAGCAAGATTAACAACTGGAATGCTTATATTTGGTCTGAGCAAATATGCTTCTTGTAAGTTACTATGTTTTAATTCGTGGGTAGTGACATTTAATGTGTAACAAACAGCTGGTGTATCCGTTGTGTTTTAACTTATCACTTAGAGATTACATAAAAAATATTGGGGTAGTGAATGGTAGCTGAACCTTATGTTTCATAAGGCCCTCCCATGGGGTAATACATTTTTACTTTGAACCCAGTGCAAAGTGCAACACAACCCCACAAAATGTTAAAATATTATAGAAATATGAAAATGGAATGCCTTTTTAAATTGTAGACTCCAATTATTAACTTCTAATGTGCAGAAGCACATGTTGAAAACCTGATATGTGTTTTTCTACCCTATCTATGTAACTATCAAAATGAAAAAAACTCTCCCAAGCCCGCCAAGATAGTCAGACTGCGGTACCTTCATCCAAAGAAAAAAGACAAAACCCTTCCCCATTCCTATAACCCCCCTCAGTCCCTAATACAGTGGACAAACTCAAAAGCATACTAAAAAAAACTTGGCATGTATGAATATATTATTAATAAAACATATCAGTAACATTCAATTAAACAATCAGTTAAAAAACAATACAATTATTTCCGGTGCTTACAAAAACCCTTTGAAGCGCCAAATATGAGATAAGGCACATAATTATTTTCATTACCATGTTTTCAGGAGGCATCTCAATCTCTTTAGTCGGAAGGACCACCAGCAGGATCCCGACTATTGCCAAGATCAGCAGCACAACCGCAGGGATGGTTAGGGCGTACCGGAGACCCATAATGGTTCTGCACGTTCCGTGCAGCTGGCAGCGCTGCGTAAAAGTGCTTGAGCACATAATGCCTAGTAAGGAAACACACACATACATAAAGGGCGTGCATCAAACAGTCGGCTATGGGTTTGGTCTGAGGTTTTGAAGTATCGTTTGCATGGTAAAATGTCTCGCTTCCTCTAATCTCTGGCCCGCGCGCACACACGCGCACGCTGCCTATACCTGCTTCATTCATGAAAGGCCGAGTCAGCAGACAAGTAAGTTTCTTCTAAGAAATTAATCATCAGGAGTTTTACTGTTGCCTACATACATACCATGAATGTATTAGAATACAGGATAACCTACGTGGTGTGTTGTGACTGTGTGCAAATACAGAGCTCTGTATGCATTATAAATGTAGCCTAAAGAAGGCTTGATAGCCTTGATGAATTTTGCATCATCACTAAATTACTGTTGGAATGACCAAAAAAAACAAACAAACAAAACATGTTTTTATCAATAACATGCCCCACATTAATGAAAATTATGAATACAAACATTTTACAAATTGGTCACATGTAACACACCTATTGTGTTTGCTAATGTGTGATTAATTTATTTTACATGAACATTTGAATAAATGAATAAAACATTTACAGTTTAACTGTTTATAAATATTGCTATGTAAACACATTTTATTTATTTAAAATAGATTCCATATTATGTGACCCGGTGACTCCACACCTGTGCCAATTGTGTTACTATAGTTCTTCTCTTTTAAATTGATAGTTTTATGGAAGCTTCAGCATTCATTTTTAATAGAGTTCCATGTCATGTGACCTAGGGACTCAAAACAAATACCTAATTGTATTACTACATGGGACAAAGGAGGCACACTTCATATCAGATATCATATTGTATTCCTGTAATTAAAATGAAGAGGAGTAAGATATACATGAAATGCAACACAACATTAACAGATAAGAGATGGGACATTTACTCTTAAACATGGACTCCAGGATCCTGAAATCTGAGGGTAGTGGAAACTGGCATGCAGTGTGTGTATGTATATATATATATATATATATAAGTAAGTATATATATAAACACGCGCACGCACACACACACCTGCCCATAAACTCTCTACCTACAGTTTATCCATTTCAGTTATATTGTACACCTATAGGTGTACCGATGTACAGTATTCTGCATATTGTTTGACTGTTGTTGGAGAGAGGCTGAGAATTATGCTTGCTTTTATGAATAGAACTTGGGAACCTGGGAAATGCTATAGGGTCTGCATTTGTATTGCATCTTTGTAGTCTTTGCGACCACTCGACACACTTTACATCACATTCACCCCATTCACACACTTTCACGCTGACAGCAGAGGCTAAGGTGCCAACTGCACAGCACAAATAACATTCATACACATTCACACACTGATGGAACAGTGATCAGGAGCAATTTGGGGTTCAGTGTCTTGCCCAAGGACACTTCTACCCAAATCCAACATACATTTTTATATTGTAACAAACATAGCAAGGAACATTTGAGAAGAAGGCAAGTTGTCAAAGTGACCATAGCAAACTGAACAACATGTTTTTACATTTATATATATATATATTTCTAAGTATATATATACATTATGTGTGTGTGTGTGTGTGAGTGTGAGTGTGTGTGTGTGTGTGTGTGTGTGTGTGTGTGTGTGTGTGTGCGCGTGTGTGTATGTGTTATATATATATACTACTTTTATACGCACACACACACACACACACACACACACACACACACACACACACACACACACTGTATGGCTGGCAGCTCCATCCTGGTGATCTGCTGCAGTTTCCACTACCCTTATGGTTCAGGATACTCAGATTTCAGGATCCCGGAGTCCATGTTTAAGAGTAAATGTCCCATCTCTTATCTGTTAATGTTGTGTTGCATTTCATGTATATCTTACTCCTCTTCATTTTAGTTACAGGAATACAATATGATATCTGATATGAAGAGGCCTTCTTTTTTTTAAATTTTATTTATATAGCACCAAATCACAACAACAGTTATCTCACAGCGCTTTCCATAAAAGAGTAGGTCTAGACTGTACTCTATGATGTTATTTACAGATTCCCACCAAGAGCAACCACTAGGCGACAGAGGCAAGGAAAAACTTCCTTTTAATAGGCAGAAATCTCGAGCAGAACCATGGCTCAGGGTGGGCGGCCATCTGCCTCGACCGGTTGGGGGTGAAGGAGAGAGAGAGAGAGAGAGAGAGGAAGAGGGAGGGACAGAGAGGAAGAGAGAGAGAGAGAGAGAGAGAGAGGAAGAGGGAGGGAGGGACAGAGAGGAAGAGAGAGAGAGAGAGAGAGGGAAGGGAGGCAGCCTACACAATATACACACAGAGGTACAGACAGTAAAGGTGATGTTGCTATAGACTAAATGAAAAATGGTATAGATATGTATAGTAGTGTTAATGAAAATAATTGTAACGTTAATGATTATAACAACAATAATAACAATAGGACTAGTAACAATAATTGTAGCAGAGGGTGTTGAGCAGGAACACAGGGGCAGCAGGTGACTACTGTCCCGTGTAGTAATACAATTAGGTATTTGTTTTGAGTCCCTAGGTCACATGACATGGAAGCTATTAAAAATGAATGCTGAAGCTTCCATAAAACTATCAATTTAAAACAGAAGAACTATACTAACATAATTGGCACAGGTGTGGAGTCACCAGGTCACATAATTTGGAATCTATTTAAAATTTTTGAGAAGCAGTAAAATAGTTTGTTTATTGTCAGGAGAATTATGAAAAAGACACAAATAAAACTAAACAGAAATCCTGAGGAGCAGTAGGTGGCGATAATGCACCTGAACTTAAATGACAGTCTCACAGAATTTGCAAAGAAGAAGAGGTAGAAGTCATTTTTGAAAAACATAGCACATGGGAAAGGAGTTTGTTGTTTAATCTCCAAAAAAGGCCAGAAAGAGAAAAGTACAGAACTCTGGCAAAAAGCTTGAGGTAAAGATTTTATCATCAGGTTTTTCATCTTTCAGGGTTTCCATTGTCATGTTGTATGTATATCACAAATTAAATGCTGTTTATTCTCAGTTCTAGTATTGGGTTAACCAGTCTCCATCATAACCACAATATCATACTATTTTAGACTTTTTGTTTCTAAATATGGCAGCCATTACTGCAATAGTACAGTGTAAGCTGTATATGATTTCACTGTGGTTGAATTAACAAAAGCCGATTGTAGATGCACTGTAGCTTTTAGATCTGTTTTGCGTATGTTATTATTTATATTTTCAAAATTAGGTTAATTACTTTTGGGATATGTTTATATTTAGGAAGAAAAGTCAGAGAGAGATGGAGGCTTGAGGAGACACAACAACAACAGGTGAAGAAGATCGGGACAGTACACAGGATGAGTAAGTGTAACACACAGCCGCCGCATGACACACACAGTGTAGAAGAGACAAAAAAAGTCCCAAAAACATTACATATATAATATATATATATATGGAGAACAAGTCTGAGCCAACTCAAAGCCAATTGCACAAGTCACCATCAGGTGTGGCATATTCCAAGGTGATGCACTATCCCCGCTGCTGTTCTGCTTAAGCCTGAACCCCCACAGCCAGATCATCACAAAGACTGGCTACAGATACCTGTTCCGACGTGGAACAACCATCAGTCACCTCCTCTATGTGAATGACATCAAGTTGTATGCCAGGAATTGACTCACTAATCCACACTACCAAGATGTGCAGCAGTGACACTGGAATGTCATACGGACTGGGCAAGTGTGGCCGGATTGTATCAAAAAGAGGGATAATGATCAGAACGGGGGGAACATTGCACATGTTCAGGACAGCTACACATATCTCGGGATCCCGCAGGTTAATGGAAACCATGAGGAGGCAGCAAAGAAGTCCGCCATAGCAAAGTACCTACACAGAGTAATGCAGGTCCTGAAAAGTCAGCTGAATGGGAAGAAAAAAATCCGAGCCACTAACACACGCGCTGTGCCAGTCATCAGATACCCTACTGGTATAATAAACAGGCCACAGGAGGACATAGAGGCCACTGACATCAAGACAAGAAAGCTCCTCACAATGCATGGAGGGTTTCACCCCAAATCCAGCAAGGGCTAAGTGAATACCTCAAGCAGCAGAATCCCAAGGGTGAGGACAAGGAGGAGGAAGAAGACCCTTCATGGAGAGACAAGCCGCTGCACAGCATGTACCACAGACAAATAGAAGAAATGGGGGATATCAAGAAATCCTACCAGTGGCTGGAAAGGCTGGACTAAAGGACAGCACAGAAGCACTAATCAGTAGTATGAGTATGGGCTGGAAGTCCCAAGGTCAAAATGGAAGACACCTCCTAAGGTAGTTGAGAATGACCGAACTAAGATCCTGTGGGACTTCAAGATCCAGACTGACAAACTGGTGATGGCTAACCAACCAGACATCGTGTTGATCGACAAACAGCAGAAGAAGGCAGCAGTGACAGATGTAGCAATCCCAAGCAGCAACATCAAGAAGAAGGAACACGAGAAGCTCAAAAAATGCCAAGGGCTGAAAGAGGAGCTAGAAAATATGTTGAGAGTAAATTAAAATACATATTTTAACCTCTCTGTTGAGGACTATGGGACTTTAAAACCCAGGAATGTGGGAAATAATTTTCTTGCTATTTTATTTCATGTTCTAAAATGTTTTTAATCAATAGTCAGTATGTGTTCATTTATTGTAGAATCATTATGTGTTAATTTTAATCAAAAAAGCATTGCAATTATTATCAGAGAACAACACACTAACGTTGGTATTCATCCAAGGTCACTCCAGAGCCTGGGAAATGTGGTGATGATCTCTTTCTCTCTCATAAACGACGACACAAACATGAACTGTATCTATTTGCCCAGATCCTCCCATTCTAAAGAAACCTACTGAAACAAAGAAAAGGTTACTGTGAGTCAGGAAAGAGTTTATCTCTTATAAACCCTTAACCTATGCCATTACCAGACTGTGGTCAACAGTTGAAGCAATCATGTTTTGGGGTGTCTAACCAGAAGTTCCCTTGTGTAAGGGCTCCATCAAGTGGGCAAAAGTGTAATGGCATA